TGCAAACAAGCGATTATCCAAACAAACCAAACATATAATCTTTTAGGAATGCGATCCCAACTCCACGAATAATTCTGCGAAATTTAAATTGATTGCGGTCCCCTAATTCCGTCACACTGTGTCAAAGTCATCCGGTGTCCGGTCAGCATGAAAATAGATTCTAACGAAGGTTGTGTCATGTCGAATACATATTGCTGCAAAAAAATTGTTGTTTTTGTTGTTGCAGAACTTGTTATCTACAAATTGAAAAAGAAAATGAGAAAGAAAACAAAAATAAGAAACAAAGACTTTGAAGCCTTCGTAAACCCAGAGGATATGTTTGTTGACATTTTACACAATTTTGAAAACATCGTTAATTTTAAGCACAATTTGTAGACCGCAAAAAGGACATTTTATATTTGTTCGCCACGTTACATCTTTCCATCGTAGCTTTCTCTAAGTCAACAAAAAATTTGCAAACAAGCAGATGTTTATTATTTAAATGCTAACCTCGTTTTGTTGTGCCCACTTGGACAATATTTTTGAGAATTGGGAATATATTCTTAGTGAATTGCTTAAAAGAGCAAAAAAAAACAACAACAACAACTTAAAGAAATTGTTAAGCGTTTTAGAAAAATAATGTAGTTGAATTTCCAAGTATGAGAAGATACAAGGGTTGTCACCGGCACTTGCCAGCGGATGTCTACAGATGAGTAGATGACAACATTTTCCAAGGATGTCAGATAAATGAAGTTCAGGATGAGGTAGAGTACATAAGGGTAAAAAGTCATTGTCAAAGTCATTCAAATAAAAGCATCGATTCGACACACTTTGTATATTTCTCATAAGATCGAACTGATTTTATAATGATATGTGACAAGTATAAATATTTTAAGATTTTTATGTTCATTTAGGGAGGATTACATACATCCTAGTTCATACGATAGCTATGTATCTACAGAATAAAGTGTTCAATTTTGGATCTGATTGGATTACTAATTTTTGAGTTACCGTCCCCGCCATTTGTAAAAAAAAAACTGTTTCGAGAAAAATGCGTTTAAAGTTTGAATAGCTATTTCAAGAGTTGTTGAGATTTTCACTTGAAATTTATAAGGACATTCTTGAATTCGTGTAGGTTCTAATAAAAACAAGTGAAAAAGTGTTAAGTTCGGCCGGGCCGAACTTTGAATACCCTCCACCATAGGTATACTGATAGACACTTGAAATGAAATTATAGGGAACAAAAAAGTGATCCTATACCGACAATTTCAAAAATCGGTGTATGTTAACCATTATGTACACCAAATACAAATTTCAGCAATTTTTAATGGTAGAATATATATATGGTAGAATATACAATCCTGAAACTACTGCAATTTAGATTACAAAGTTAGATTACATAGTGTAGAAATTAGCGAATATTTGATGTTATTATAATATTTTAGTTTTGTATCTCGAGTTTTTCATCACCATTTCCTTAGAAGGCGGAATGATTACAACCGATGGCTACATCGTCTTAGAATTCCATAATTTGTAGGGCGAACTGACTATTTCGAGTAACGACTATCCCCTATACTATGGTAGAATACGCCTATATGGGGACAACCCCTAAACACGAAACTAATCAGCTAACTATTTTGATATAAGAAGAGGAAGGGGCGAATATTAATAATTTTTGGTAGGAACATTTTTTACCATATGCGACTACAAAATACCAAATTACAACGAATTCGGTTGAAAAATGCGATTAAAACTCCCCAAATACCGAAAATTTGGAAGGTACCGTTATATAGGGACAACCAGAAAAAGTGGACCGATATTTATAATTTGTATTGGCGACATTTGGTACCCAAAAATAACACAATGTACCAAATTTCATCGAATTCAGTCGAAAAACGGGCTCAAGAACCCCAAAATACCGAAAATTATGGGGTACCCAATAAGAACCCATTGTAACAAATTTAAGCGAATTCGGTTAGAAACGCGCTAGAAACGCCCCCCACAACATTCCGTAAATTCGGGGGGTACCGTTATAAGGGGGCTACCAGAAAAAGTGGACCGATATTTATGATTTTTTAAGTGGAGACATTTAATACCCACAAACAACCCAATGTACCAAATTTCAGCGAATTTGTTTGAAAAACGCGCTCAAGCACCCCAAATTATCGAAAATTGGGAGTGCCCTTATATGGGGGCTAACCGAAAAATGAACCTATTTTTATAATTTTTAGTGGAGACATTTGGTAGCCAAAAATTTCCTTTATAAAAACGCGCTTAAAACTTAACCTGCCTGGAGACAAAATAGAGTCTATGCAAAATTTTGGACATCTATCTCAATTCCTTCAGAACATAGCGTACCGACATAGCTAGATCGTCTTAGAATTTTACCCTGATCAAGAATATATATGTACTCTATAGGGTCGGAAATGAATATTTCGATGAGTTAAAAACGAAATTAAACCAGTAAGGAAAGTTCAAAAGTCGGACGGGGCCGACTATATGATACCCTTCACCACTATGGGTACATGCAAGACATGTTAATATCTACAATATCCTGTAGATATAAACATTTCGCATACATCAGTCGGGACCTAATTCAGTACTCTGTGCAAAATTTTGCTTCAATCGGACCAACATTGGGAGTTTGGTGCACAATTTACCTTAAATCGGACGAAACTATATATGGGAGCTATATCTAAATCTGAACCGATTTCAACAAAACTTCGCATTCATCAATGACCTAATTTAGTACGCGGTGCAAAATTTTGTCTCAATCGGATAAATATTGGCAGTATGTTGCTCCATTTACATAAAATCGGACGAAACTATATATAGCATATTTAGATATAAATCTGAACCGATTCCAACAAAATTACTCATACATCATCATCAGGAGGCGAATATTAGTAATTTTTAGGAGGGAGGTTTGTTACCATATACGACTACAAAAAACCAAATTACAAAGAATTTGGTTGAAAAACGCGTTCAAGAACCCCAAAACACCGAAAATTGGGGGGTACCCTTATATGGGGGCTACCCGAAAAAGTGGACCTATATTTATTATTTTTAGTGGAGATATTTGCTACCTAATAAGAACTCGATGTACTAAATTAAAGTCAATTCGGTCGAAAAATACGATCAGAACCCCCAAAATACCAAAAATTTGGGAGTACCGTTATATGGGGACTACCAGAAAAACTGGAACTATATTTATAATTTTTAGTGGAATAATTTGGTACACAATAAGAACCGAATGTACAAAATTTCAGAGAATTCAGTTATAAAATGAGCCAAAGAACCCCAAAATACCGAAAACTGGGGGTACCTTTATATAAGGGCTACCCGAAAAAATGGACCTATATTTATAATTTTTTGTGGGGACATTTAGTACCCAATAAGAACCCAGTGTACCAAATTTCAGCGTATTCGGTTGAAAATCGCGCTCAAGAACCCCAAAATACCGAAAATTGGGGGGTACCCTTATATGGGAGCTATGCCTAAACGTGGACCGATTTTCTCCAATTTCAATAGGGTTCGTCCTTGGGCCAATTAAGTGACCTGTGCCAAATTTCATCCAAATCGGATCATAAATGCGACCTGTACTTTGTTAACAAAAATACATGGACGGACGGACAGACGGACAGACGGACATGCATAAATCGACTCAGAAAGTGATTCTATGCATATTCTCAAAAGGAACCATGGGTCTATCTCGATTATTTTTGCCTGTTACAAACATATGCACAAAGACATAATACCCTGTACCACAGTGTGGTGAAGGGTATAAAAATTAATATACCCTCCATACTATGGAGGGGAGGGTCCCCTTAAGGAGTTAGTGGTGGCAATTTCAGTCGATCGACGAAAAATTTTCAAATTGCATTTTAATAATGCGCTTCCAAAAAGGCTAAATCTGTCCAATCGACGAAAGAACGCTTTGACATGTTTTACCGATCAAGAATAAAGACTGTCAAATTGCATCCACTTCGATTGGAAAATGCGGAAAATGTATTTATTAATTTTCGAAGTTTTAGCTTGATGTGATTTTAACATCACAGATCGATTTCTATACCCTCCAAACTATATTGTAGACAATTATCAATATAGGTCCATGTTCCACTTCCACTTCGATTGGAAAATGCGGAAAATGTATTTATTAATTTTCGAATTTTTAGCTTAAATATTGAGAGTTCAATTGTGATTTTAACATCACAGATCGATTTCTATACCCTCCAAACTATATTGTAGACAATTATCAATATATGATATAGTCAGATTATCCAACATAACTGGCTATAAGTTGGCTTTCCGGGTTCTTAGCGCTAAAATTCTTTGAAATCTACCCACAAAAAAATGACCCCCATATTTCCGTACACCCAAATATTTGGAATTTTTAAACATTTGGGCGCGTTTTAAATAGAATTGAATTGATATTAGGAATTCTCTCTCAAAATTATCAATATTGACCCATGTCCCGGATAGACCCCACATAACGGGACTCACCACTTTCGGTATTTTGAGGATATTCGACATATTTTTTTAACAGAATTGACTGTAATTTGTAACATTGAGTTTCCATTGAGTAGTTATTCTTCCTACCAAAATGGTTGATATGTCGTCAACCCTAAATAGTGGACCCAAATATTTGGTATTTTGAGAATATTGGACACGTTTTTCAATCAATTTACATATAATTTGGTATGTTGAGTTTTTATTTCCTACCAAAATTGTCTATATTGGGGTCTATCGTAACCCCAAATACTCGGTATTTGAGGGATTTCGTTTTTAAACCGGATTGGCTGTAATATGGTATGTTGACAACGTTTTTACTTGTATTCAGTATCGTACCTATTCCGTATATTTGTACTATTAATACTGTTTTGAGATATTATGCCTTATTAAAAAAAACGTTTCAATGTTTATACATATCCCATCGATTTTTATATTTCACATCAATGTACACATTCATTAATAAAATACACATTTTATAAATTTATTAAATTTCATTTTTCGTTTCTTAGGTGACATTATGGACATTATGGCTCTCATCAACTCCAGCATTAACTTCATTCTCTACTGTTCGATGAGCCGACAATTTCGTACAACATTTACCCTACTCTTTCGTCCGAAATTTCTCGATAGATGGTTGCCAGTGGCTCAAGATGAGGAGACAATGGCTGGCACCAATCGTCCATGTCGTCAGAGTAATCGTGGCGGTCAAGGACCTGCACCGAATGGCATTCGACGTGATGAAGTTAGCAAAAGCTGTGTGATAGAACAAAATCAAATGACTACAACACAGGTAACAAATGTGTAGCATAAAGCGAAACAACAACTATTAACGTCGGCAAAAACAACAACAAAACAAAGCCACGTTGCAGCAGCAGCGTCCGAAGCAGCTAATGTAGATT